GTATGTATGTATGTATGTATGGAGGCGTGTGTATACATTCACACATGCATGTCTTCAGTTGCAATGTTGCACTGTGCTTTGCGGGCTCGGAAGCGGAACCCCGGTGTTGTGCCCAGGCTGTGTACTGTAGGAGCTGTAGAGGGAGATTCTTTGGGTGTGGGGATGGCGTGTCCAGAACTGCAGAGGGAGATCGGCTCTTGAGAAGAGAGGGGGCGGGGTGGAATGGGATGTAGCACAGCCGCAAGGTCCTGGATCTTAGGCTCAATCGGTACGAGACCATACCAGCCTCCTGTTTTCTATTGCGACCACTGCAATACTAGCAATATGAGCAACAAGAAGAAGGGAAGACGACGCTACGACGACGACAACGACGACGACTACTACGACCGCCGCCACCAGCCACCACCACCACTGCTGCAATCACATGGGTAGTTCTCTGAATTAGGGTCCCTTTTTGGGTCCCCAATATATAGTACGGCACCCTTATAAAAAGGACCCCAAAAGGGACCCTAATTTAGAAAACTACCCACATGCAATCAAGGATGGGCGAGTCCTACGCCTGCCTCCTGCAAGCCAGCCCAAACTCGGCCAAAGAGCTGCTGGGCCTTCCTGAGCTCCGGTTTGGGTTTAGGGCTTACCGTAGGGCCTAAGGGTTTGCCGAGCCCTGTCTAGGATTCCCAAGAAGGGGTGGTTACAGGTTTTGACTATGACGATGAGGTCTTGGAGCTCTTGTTTTTGATTTTGAAAAGCCTTTCAAGGGGGAATCTCGAGTTTAGTGACTTTGCGTCTCCGTTTTTCGGTGCACGGCGGGCTTTGTGGGGTTGGCTGGTCTGGCTCCGGATTCCAAGAGCAGGTCTGGCAGCCTTCTTGTGGTTTAGGGTTTAGGTTTAGGTTTAGGGTTTAGGGTTTAGGGGCCAGGGCCGCATTTACTGCTAGATCTTTTGGGGGAGAGGGGTCGTAGAGAAGTGAAGGTGAAGCAGTCTATTACTTTAGGCCGTCGGGTGCTTGAAGCATCGTGGCTCTCCAAAGCCATAAACCAGGCAATGCACCACTCGCATCCTCGCAGGTACGTTCCAGGCTCAAGCAGTCCTCCGCCCATTTCCCGAGCTATGGCGTCCTTCGATGACTTGTTCCGAAACCGTGACAAAGGTCCCGTGTTCCAAGTCCGAGTGTCTACCTTGGGTTCTCCTCTTGGCACGCTGACTGCTTACGGCGAGTGGAGGGTTCAGGGGTTGAAGGAAGCGGTCAAGGCCAAGTGGAACTGGTCAGAACATAGGCAGCGGCTCTTCTTCGGGGACCTTGAGCTGTGTGATGTCCTGCTCCAGGCCAACCGGCACCCTGATAGGTCTTACTCTGAGGAACTGTGGGACCTTCTCGATCATCCTCGTGACGGTGATGTGGTGGATCTCAACTTGCTGAGTCGGACCGCAGAGCAGGAACAGTTTTTGGCGGCACTGTCGCCCATGTTAGCTGATGGTGATGTTTCGGAGTTGGTGCAGAATGCACCTGCGGAGGTGCGTGGTGACAGGTATTGTATGCTCGCCGTCGTCGCGTGGAACTACAACTATCCCGACTTGCAGTTCGCCAGTGAAGAGCTTCGAGCAGACAGGGAGTTCATCTTGCAATGCGTGACCATCTACGCCCGGTGCCTTTGGTGCATAGGAGAGCACTTGGTCGGTGACAGGGCCTTCATGGAGGAAGCAATCCGCCGGTCGCCATTTGCCTTGGAGTATGCGACTGACGACCTCAAGAACGAAGAGGCTTTGGTGCGGCTGGCTCTCAAGGGTACGCCTTCT